AGCCCTACTCCTCCCCTCTGTATTTGTTTCTGAGCTCCCTTCCTCCTCCCCACTTCTGAAGAAGGGTCGGGACCCAAAATGTCAATTTTGCTGCTCCTCTGATGCTGGCTGGCCTGCTGTGTTCCTCCAGCTCCATATTGTGTTATCTGTGACTCCAGTTCGGCAGTTCTTGCTATCTCTACTTGAAGTCTGAGATTTGTTCCTTTTTACAGAGTCAGAGTGATACAGCATGAAAACAGACTTTACGGCCCATTTAGTCCAATTTCCCAAACTAAACTAATCCCATTTGCCTGTGTTGACCCATATCCCTCTAAACCTTTCCTATTCATGTAAATGTCCATATTGCTTTTCAATGATGTAACTGTCCCTGCATTCACCACTTCCTCTGGCAGTTCATTTCACACATAAACCACCCTGTGTGTGAAAAAGTTGCCCCTCGGGTCCCTTTTAAATCTTTCCCCTCTCACCATAAAAATATGCCCCCTAGTTTTGAACTCCCGTACCCTAAGGAAAAGGCCTTTTCTATTTACCTTACCTATACCCCTCATGATTTTATAAATATCTCTAAGGTCACCTCTCAACCTCCTACGCTCCAGAGGAAGAGTTCCAGTCTATTCAGCATCTCCTCAGAACTCAAATGGTCCAGTCCTGGTAACATCCTAGTAAATCTTTTCAGCACCGTCTCCAATTTAATAATATCCATCCTGTAGCAGGGCCTCACCAACGTCCAGTACAATCTCAACATGTTGTCCTCAGATTGAGCAATGGCCTAAGCAATGAAGCCAAGCCATCCTCTCTTCGATTCATTAGAAATTTTTAATTAAAAAATAGATCCCAGCAGCCAGGCCGCCAGTGTGGATGAAAGGGGTGTGAAATGCCCCTCTACAGAGTGGCTTTTGGCTGTTCCTAAACCCAGGCAGATAGGTAGGGCCTCTAAACCTGCCTGGAGCCAGGGCTGCCTGCCTGCCAGCCATTCGTTGCCAGCCTCCAGCTACTGGACCTAGCCCCACCAGTGAGAAGACATGGAGGCCGATTGAAAAATTTCATTGGCCTCCTTTTGTACTCCTCAGTTTGTTCCTTTATTGAACCTGCAGCTTACCTAAGGGCAGTGATCCTACCCGCACCAAACTCACCTCTGGTCCGGTGGCAGGCTGGCCCCATGTTCCTTGCCAAGTAATTGGGAGAATAAGAATCCCATCCTTGTATCATCTATGAGATTACACGATGGTATTAAAGCTGTGAAAAACAATATCCTTCACATGGCAACCATAAACGTCCTGTTGAGAAGGGATTGCAGGGCACTGTCTTTTCCAATTTAAGCTTCTACTCAATTTTTGAAACTCTGTTACTCCCATAAATATTTTCACAGAGAGCTGAGCAGAATTTCTGCCATAAATGAAAGTTTTAAAAGCCAACCAGAGGTGACCAAAGAAGAGGGAGAGAACAAAAACTCTGAGGGCAAACTAGCAAGTAATATTAAAGAAACCAAGCCTTATTCTTTAAGGAACTTACATTCTCTTTGGCCTCTCTTCCTTTTTATTTATTTAAAGCAGCTATACTGTGTTTCTTTAATATTACTTGCTAGTTTGCCCTCAAAGTTTTTTTGTTCTCTCCCTCTTCTTTGGCCACCTTTGGTTGGCTTTTAAAACTTTCCCAATCCTCTGGTTTACCGTTGATCTTTGCCACATTGTAGTATTTTTCCTCTCAGTTTGATACTATCCTTGCCTTCCTCGGTTAGCCGTGGATGGTTTATTCACTTTCTAGAATCCTTCTTCCTCAATGGCATATATCTTTGTTATGAGTCATGAACTACTTTCTTAAATGCCTGCCATTCTTCATCAGTGATCTTTTCTGTTAGAGACCTTTCCTAGCCAACTCAGCCCTCATTTCTTTTTAATATCCTATTTAAATTTAACATGATTGTTTAAGTTGTAAATTTCTCACTCTCAAACTGAATGCTAAACTCTACCATGTTATGGTCACTGTTTCCAAGGGGATCTTTGACTCTGATATCACTCAGTAGCAGCAGTGTGTACTATCTACAAGATGCACTGCTGAAATTCACCAAAGATCCTCAAACAGCACCTTCCAAACCCACGACCACTTCCATCTAGAAGGACAAGGGCAGCAGATATATGGGAATACCATCACCTCCAAGTTCCTGTCCAAGTCACTCACCATCCTGAGTTGGAAATATATCGCCGTTCCTTCACTGTCGCTGGGTCAAAATCCTGGAATTCTCTCCCTAATAGCATTGTGGGTCAACCCACAGCAGGAGGACTGCAGCAGTTCAAAAAGGCAGCTCACCACCTTCTCAAGGGCAACTAGGGATGGGCAAGAAATGCTGGCCAGCCAGCGACACCCACATCACACAAATGAATAAAAAAAATTAAACTTGCCTCATTTCACATCCCCAATCAAAAATAGACAACTCCTTGGCTGAATCCACACATGTTGCTCTAAGAAATTATTCCAAGTACACTCAATTTAATTCTTCCTCATGGCTACTTCTGTCAATTTGATTTTTCCAATCTGCATGAAAATTGAAGACATGCACGAGTAAGGTACTGCCTTTTTCTTTTAACTTGTCTTTATTAACTCCTGATTTTATTTTCTGTCCTGCACTGTAGTACTGTTAGGGTCCTATAGACTGCTCCCATCATTGTCTTCTTCCCCTAGTTATTTCTTGCCTCCACTGATATGGATTCTACATCTTCCAATCCAAGATCATTTCTTTTGATCATACTTTGTCCATCTGGCATTCAGTAATGACAGGGACTTTTCCATACTTGTTCTTTCAGTCACTGCTATCATATAATAATGTTCTTGATCTCATTGTGTCACTGCAGAATGTTCACCAAATTTGAGAGATAAGGAAACAGTAACTGAATTAAGAAGCATCTTACTACGGCTTCACCTTACCTTGAGGCCACAAGAATGTTATGTTGCATTCCTCTGATAACTCTGTTTTATTAGCAAATCATACAGTTAGAATTAACTCCATTTACTACAGTTGTAGCCACATGAATCCTGGAAAAGTGCCCAGCAGATATTTTACAGCTTTATAAGTTGTAGAGCCCAGATTGGCCAGAACTATAATTTGCAAGAAAAAGAGTTTTGCTTAAAGCTATCTGCCAACACAGGAACATATTGAGGAGCCACATTGAAATCATCTGGTTAAATAATGTTAATGTCTGTGGCTAAAACTGTGTAATATTCCAGTGGAGTTGAACATTTTCTTAATTAATATTAATTTTAATTAATTTTAATATGAATTGGTTCAGTCTTGCATAAATGTTGTTACGCAGTGGTGTAATGTGGGAAGTCAAGTATTTGTATAAAATTGAAAAGCCCAGCCTACATTTTTATGTGGCTTTGCATTTTAGGATCTGTTCAACTCTTGATGAGGCATTGAGCTTTAAGTAAATTGTATAGATTTAATCATGTGTTTAATTACTATTTTAAAATAATGGCCACAGCAGCCGTTAATGATTATAAGTGCCCCGTGGTCTACATATGCACACTGTTTAGTGTGTTGCATATGCTAAATCAGAATCAGAATCAGAGCTCCCTATTAACCATTGACCAGGGCTCCCGGATGTCCATGTACATTCCCGAAATTAGTTATTGTTTATTTGTTTCGATTGTCAACATCCTGCTTCATCTCCGCATAATAAAATGAAGTAACTTAGATGATGCAAAAACTGCAGATACTGAAAATCTGAAGTAGACATGGAAAATGCTAGAAATGCTCAGCCAGTGTGAAGGGAAATGATGTTAGTTTTTCAAAGGCAAATGGTCTTTCCACAGAGCGGGCAAAGGTGGAGATTTAACCGGCTTTAAACAAACACGGAAGCAGAGAGAAGGGGGAATGGGTGAGTTTATGGGAGAGGACAGAGCAACCACAAGATAAAGCCTATGACAGAAATAAAAATAGAAAGTGCTGGAAATATTCAACAGGTCAGAGATCCCTGTGGAGAATCTGTGGAGAGAAGCAGGGTTAATGGTTCAGGCCAACGATGACTCTTCATTGGAAATGAGGGTGGAAAACAAAGTCATGTATTTTGAATCAGAGATAGTAGAAACTGCAGATGCTGGAGAATCTGAGACAACAAGGTGCAGAGCTGGATGAACACAGCAGGCCAAGTAGCATATGATGTGGAACCCACTACCACAAGGGGTAGTTGAGGTGAATAATAAAGGAAGGATAGAAGGAGGCTTGAGTGGAGCTCAAAATGTCAGTGTGAACTAGTTAGGCCAAATGACTTTTATTGTATGTCGTGTATAATTAATAAATGACCCTCTCATTAAAGGCTGCTCCAATTGCTTGGTCATACAGCAAAGATCCTGTGGTTCTGATCAATCAGTCAGCTGGACTGCTTTGAATTTAATCAGTTAACAGTTCCCGATACATCTCCATGCCAACCACAGTCTTCTCATGTTGTATCCATTGGTTGTTCCCTTTCTAAAGTTAATGTTCTTGTATTGCAGTCCCGGTGTGTTTAAGATGAAAAGCATTGACAGTCCTGTCTCTTTAGCAGCATTTAAAGTCTGATCTATTCAAGTATAGGTTAAATGATTACAAGTTATCTATTGTTAACTTCTGTACAGATTCATGGAACACGCAGTGTAATACAGTAAAGTTGATCATCTTGAAAGCCTTGTTAGAAAGATTGGCCCTGATTCAATCTGTTCACACTCCTTTTTATTCTCTTTATCACTTCTCTAGTGGCAAGTTCTTGTCTCCTCCAAGCTGCCTTATTCACTGTCACTTCTGCCTTCAGGTCATAATAAAATTTAAGTTTCAATCGTCAAACTGCAACTCATTCATAATGTATGAATAAACCATCAAAGGTTTATTCACTGAGTGCTTGTGAATGCATTATCATAAGACTCTCAACTTTGCCTGACTTTGTCACTGTTTTAGCACTGTCCTCTAAATTTTTTAAGGAATGATGAATTTTGAGCTTTGGGCTAAAAATAATTTGTGCTTCCCACAGCTTGAAGACGACATAGTTGCCAAAGATCATTACTTCAGCACCATGAAAAATTTTGCACTTCAGCTTTCTTCTGAAGATTGGATGGTACTAGAATTCTCACAGTTGGGGTTTATAGGTAAGAAAATATTTCTGACGCAGATAACAGCTAAAAATCACAACTGGTGATGCCTATCAATTTAATATCAAAGGCTACCAACAAAATCCACAGAAAAAAAAATCGTTGGATTAGTACTTATGAATACTAAAATGTTCATAATTGAGACTATTTTCATAACATTTGTTTTCATTTATGATTATTTTAATTGAAACAAAGTATCATTTTGCAGCATGCTGTTTCAAACAGCACACATCACCTCCTCCGTAAAAATATGTCTGCTTGAGCTTTCTCCATCTGCCACCAAACCGTATCTTTTACCTAGAATCAAGTTCTCACACTCTTTCCTTACACATTTCCTCACCTGTATCCTTCTGGAACTCCAGAAAATTTCAAAATAAGCTCGTAATGTTTACGTGTTTTAAGCAGGCATTCGGCTCTGTCGCTATCCACACCAAAACAAAACAAGTGCAGAAAAAGTACTGGAGAAAAACCCGTGAGCTGAATCCACTTCCCCTCAACATTCCGGTACATTCCCTTGCTTTTTCTGATGTGCTCCACTGACTCTCTGTCCCTCTGTACCATTGACTTTAGGATCCTAGACCTGAGCCTTTGCTTTCAAATCTTTTCAGGGGTTTGTCTTACATGCATTTCGCCAGCATTTCATCTGCTTGTCCCATCCCTTGCTCATGACTCCTCTGATTCTTGGTTCTCATTTGTAGCCCTCTCTCTCCCTCTCCCCCCACACTTCACTCACTGGATCCATCATTCTCCGAACAATGTTTACCACTGCCACTTTCTGAAGTTCAGTTGTCCTCTTGGATTCTCTGACTTCTCCACCACCACCACCACCCAACCACTATGTACCTTATCAGCTTGTGAACATCCTCCTACCCTTGTAAAGACCCTGGGAATGGTAGACTACAGAAAGGAAGTTTGTAAATGCAAATTATAGTTGTGTGTGGAGGAGCACAGCGTGCCAGGCAGCATGAGAGGAGCAGGAAAGTTGACATTTCGGTTCAGGACCCTTCTTCCGAAGGGTCTTTCTGAAGAAGGGTCCCGACCTGAAACGTCAACTTTCCTGCTCCTCTGGTGCTGCCTGGCCTGCTGTGTTCATCCAGCTCCACACTGTTATCTCTGACTCCAGTATTGGCGGTTCTTACTATCTCATCTTATAGTTGTGTGTGTTTTTATGCATGTTTCATGTTTTAAACATGGTTAAATGGATTGGTCATGCTAAATAGTGTCCAGGGATGTGCAGGCTAGGTCAATTAGTCATGGGAAATGCAGTGTGGCAGGGATTGGGTAGGGAGGTGGGTCTAAGTATAGGTGGGATGCTCTTCAGAGGGTCGGTGTGCACTGGATGGGCCAAAAGGCCTGCTTCCATACTGTAAGGATTCTGGTGATTCTGTGATTCTAAACAAGTTGCATGAATTTTATTTATGCCTTTATATATTTAAAATGTATCAATGCCAGGTGTTTGGACTTTCTGCTTATATTGCACAATTTCTCCCTGCTGTTTCATTCATGGTTTTGTTGTGAACAGCCAACAAGTTGGTCCGCAGAGTAATTTGGTAAAGCTTTGGGCAGATGATAGTCATTCACCTACCTTCCAACCACCAGGAATGCCCCTCTCCTGCCTATTTTCTCTGTCCTAATAGAACTTAGCCATTAAAAAATCTGGCCTTGGGTTTTACAGCTGCATCATGAGTGGAAACAATCAACTAATTGTGTTGAATAGCAGTTAAACTAGTTACACCCAGTTTAAACTGCAGTAACCTGTTTATGGTCCCTGGGCTTTCAAACTGTGGTTTAATGATTTCTACAGCAGAATTTAACAATCCTCTGCCAGTGTTTCTATGAGAGGGGGAGGCATAAAACTCCCCCCAAGTGATGGTCCCTCTGCCCACTCCAACCTGTCGACATTCACAGCGGAATGGGCAAGGTCTGGATTGGCCCACTACCTTTGTGTTATTTGAGGAGCTCCAATGGGCAATCGTGTTCACCGCTCTGATCCGGCCTCAATTTGAAGTTGACGGGAGGCCTTCAGGGCAGGGTGGGGGCAGTGATGGTGGTGGTGGGGTAGACCACAAAGTCATGCCACTCAGGTCTTGGACAGAAATTGGGCAATGCCTCTATCAATGGCCTCTATTTAACATTGTCCTGCCCATACCCAGGAAGGTTCACATCCACCATCCCCCACACACCCTGGCCCATCCATTAAGACCCTCTGCTCCCTTGGGCCTTCCCATCTCTCTTAGCTCTCCCCCGCCCCTCCCCTAAACCTTATGCATATTTACCTAGCCCTGGATACTGAGCAGTTCCCAGAGTTCAAATATCTCATCATCCCAGCAATGCCCGCTGCAGTTTGTGGCACTGTTGGCATTGGCTGCCAGCTGTATGAGGCAGGACAACCTTCTGAGTGAGGGGTGAAAGGGACATTGTAGTACAGTGATAATGCTCCCATCTCTGAACCAGGAGGCCTGGGTTGAACTCCCACCTCCTCCAGAGGTGTGAAATACTATCTATAGAACAAGTGAGGGCTCAAAACTGCACACCTGACTAACCCTTCTTAGAGAGTTGAATGGCAGCAAGGATATCATCTGGAAATGTTCTCCAGCAACTCTTCAGGTGCCGGAGCAGGAAACTGTGACATCCAAAAAAATCTCCTGGCTGTAGTTATATATATGCAATTCAGGCAAGTAACATTCTTGAGAATGCCATCTGGTGCTCCAACCTGTAAGTCAACCTGACCATTCCCTCATGCTATGAATTACATACAGAAATTCTGATTTAGAGAAAACGCAATAATGAAATTAGGCAGACATAATGCAGTATATTCTATGTCTGTCAAATTGTATTGTGCAAGTGATCCCTGTAAAGTACTCCCACATTGAAAGAACAAACATTAATCTTTTGACACCCAACAACTTGTGAGCCTCTCATTTTAAAACATTCAGCAGCCTTTGCAGTGAGTTACTGTTCTCAGCCAAGCCACTGTTCACAGCCTATAGCACCACAAATAACTGAGCCAATGTCACCAGGTGGGGTGGGGGGGGGGGGGGGGGGGGGGGCGTGGTGTCGCAAATTGGAAGTAATGTGTAAAT